AATTCTATCATTTAAAAAAATTGCATAAAAAGCAGTAATGTCAGCTTTACAACATTTTAGCTTGGTTTTATTACCATTTTAAGGGGCAAATTACAGTAATTCATCATCATCATCATCATCATTACAGCAAATTACAAGTCCACTGCTGAACGTAGGCCTCCCCCAAGGAATGCCACCTGCATCCATTGACTTCCTGCATGTCTTACCAGGTCGTCACTCCATCTAGTGCGGGGACGCCCTACACTTCGCCTGCCGGAAAATTATATAATAGACTAAGAGTAATTACATACATATTATATAAAAACTCAAATTCCAATTATTACAAGCAAAAGTAAAAAGCAAGGCTTGTAATATTACTCAAAATATTACAAGCCTTGCTTTTTACTTTTTTCGGGCCATTTTCATTCTGGTCACTTCTTTACTTTTTTATGTCCCATTGGCGTCACAAGCTGAGAATTGATTCGGCGCAAGGAGGAATTAAAATAACAATCACACAGTAATACACATTATATGTATATTATTTAATATTGAATATGACTACATGGTGACTTAAGAGAATCCGTGGCCCCATTGTATCTAGTGGTAGACGTAAGAGACGAGCAATCCCAAGATGATCTCGTGGACTTTGTTAATGGCGATGTAACTATAGATGTTTCATATAAAATACGAAGACAAGCGACGAAAAGCAGTGTCAAGCGTCAAGGGTGAACTGCAATCTCCAGTCTTTCAACTGCGGCGATTCCAAAAATCTCCATAGTTTGGGACGGGTACACGTCCTACAGAAGACTAAATACTGCTACGTACTGTAAAAGGCTGCTGATAATAAGGATAAAGGCTTCACAGATTTATCCGTTTAGTTTTAAATATAGAAAGGCTACTGTAAATGTCTGCTGCCCTGTTAATTGTTATTAAAATACGCTTAAGTAAAGCTCTGGATTTAATTAACTGTTAATTAAAGATAAATCTGTTTAAAGTAAAACAGTTTTATTTTTAAAAAGTTAGTGAATTTAACAAAAATGTGTTTTGTGCAATTCACTAACAAAGCCATTTCATTAACTTCTGAATACCTTTTTATTTTGTTTCAGGTAAAACACATAAGGACTTTGTCAATGCCAACGCAAAACATAAATGAAAAGTAAGAAATCAGAATTTTATAAACCTAAAATTGCCAAACATTATTTACATTTGGTGTACGTAAATGCAAAAATTATAATAAATAAATAAATATTTATCGTGAAACACGAAAATTATTGATTTTTTTATTTTAAAGGTATATCGTAGTATTCTGTACATGCGAACTTGTCAACGGAGATAATATATTTATAGAAAATATTGACAAAAGAATACTACACAGTCCACCTCATCGTAAGTCGATACTGTGGTCCTTAGACATCTTAATATATCCTCGATTAAGGAATCTGCATTTTGATTCTTAATCGAGGATATATGTAATTGTTTGTTGCCCCTGGGGACTAAGATAGAATGCCTAATTTACAGAAAACGGAGTCTCCGTTTCTCTACAATCACCATACGAAACACAGCAGCATTAAGCATTAATTTTACGCTGGCATTCTGTAAGAGCGTGGTCCTACTCATAGTCAATAATAAAAAAAAACCATAATAAAAGCACTAAAACTCAAATCTTTAATTATCATACAGTAATACTCCACGTGGTATAGTGCCAAGAATGCCGGCTATGGTTCCTCGCTGAATACTTTGAGCGAGAAAAGAACCAGCCCTCTTATCACCAGCAGCGCTGGACATCGTGGATATAAATTCCTTGGGAACTTCACCGCACGACTGTCTCTACAGAAAATGGCACAAATATGTAGTCATCTTTCAGAAAGAAATACCGCTGAGATAAGACGCTGCCAGTGTCCAAAATGTTGTTTTTTTTAATATTTGTATCTAGAAAAATATTAATCACCTCATAGAAAGATCTCGCGAGGAAGTAAAATCACATTGTAGAGAGACATATCTGAATAATTTACGCGTACATCTCAGGGCCGACCATTTGCCGTACTGTTCTCAACACTATGTCGTCATATGTGCTTGTTTATTTCACCCACAGACAGTTAATGCTCCAGTTTATGGACGTTTTTATGTCTTTATAAAGCGTATCCTACAAAATTCTTATTGCGAATGACATCTTAACGGTTAATAAAAAGCAGTAGGACAGTTCAATTCATCTGTAATCGTTTAACTGACGCACTTAGATATTTATTTTATTTTACTAGATGTTTAGACTAAGATCTGAGAGATGCTAAAATCAGTGTCAAATATAAAATGTCTGGTCTATCTATTTTGAAGCGTAGCTCCCGTCTTGCCACGATTGCGAGCACTATCACTGACGTCACTAAACCTAACCACTACACTAGGACAGACACACCACTGTCATTTCTGCGGGGGCTATCCACTAAGTCAAAATATACTTACATATACAATAATATAAACATTGTGAGCCTTTTTCAAGTTGGAAGGAATTAATTATTAGGTACTGATTAATGTGAATTTGATACAAGTGGAATATGGACGATTTAATGTTCTAAACCTTTTTGAGCTCTTACTTCATGAATCATTCTTTAGCTTTAAATAAATACAAGGCGTTACCAACGGCTTTCGATTGCTCTAGGGAATATTCATTCTTCCATGAGACACCTAAAAAACTAACATACTAAACAAACAGCGTAAATAAGGGTCCTATCTAGAATGATCACGCTATAAATTTATCAAACGACCTTTATCTCAACCTTTAGAAAGATCCATGGGAGAGATCAATATTTTGTTAGTCTGGTCATGTAAGTTTTAATATTCTTTGATGCATGTGCTTAGCAATGGTCTTTTAATAGAATGTAATTAATTAACGCTGAAGCATAATTAGTCATAAGAATGATTGGTATTTTTATATCACAAATAACAACCCGTCGTGAATATCTAAAAATCTATTATTGTGGCGATATATTTAAGATTTAAGATAATCAAAACCCATTTGTCTACTAAATTATTTGTTCATTCAAAAAATTCAAGTATTAGGAGTTTCATTAGAATCGGTTCAGCTATTTTGCAATTGTTTTTTTGTCCAGCAAAATGAGTGAATCTAACGAAGAAATTCGATACATTCTGAAGTTTTATTACAAAAAATATAAAATTGCGATTCAAGCCGCTAAATAATTGTGAAGTTCATGGACCTAATCCAGTGTTAGTTAAAGTAAAGATGCAGCTCGCTCTGGTCGCCCTCATACAGATAATGTCGATGCCATTTTTGAACAAGTGTCTATCCGAATGCCACTTTGCTTTCTGTTGCAGCGTATTTAGATATTCGTGACTCCATCTACGCCAAAACATTTGTGAACATTTTTGAATATATTGCCAACGTGATAATCGATTTATTGTTATATCCTCTACATTATACTCAGGTACTGCTGTTAACCCTTTTCCAATTAGAAAGTGTCCCGCGTACGTTGAACTCATCAGAATTATCACTAGCTGGTAACGGACAAATCGGCCGCGAGTTGAGAATCGCTTCTACTTTACAAAACACTGTTGTGAGTTCCTCGAACGTCAAACTTTTTTCTCCTACGGCTCGCGTTAATAGATACTTGGCGGATTTAATTCCAGCTTCCCAGAGCCCACCCATATGTGGTGCACCAGGGGGATTAAATCTCCATATAATTTGTCGTTTTGAGCAACCCTCTATATTGTTTTTTTGTTCGAGCATAAACCTTTGTATTTCGGTTAAATGCTTACTAGCAGCTATGAAATTAGTTCCGCAATCCGAATAAAGGAAGGAGCACACACCGCGTCGCGCTACAAATCTGTCTGAACACGCGAGGAAACAGTCCGATGACAACGACGATAAGACTTCAAGGTGTACAGCTTTTGTCGAATAACAAATAAATAATGCTAAATATGACCGTTCAACCCTAGCATTTTGTCGTAAACTTTCTTTTGTAAAGAACGGACCACCGAGGTCCACCCCTACATGCTCAAAAACATTACAAGGTATCAATCGGGATGCTGGCAAAAGTGCCATCTCAGGCTGTAAGAGCACTGGGTTGTGTTGAAAACAAATTTTGCATTTGGACAAAACTGACCGAATAATGCGACGGGATGCTAAAATCCAAACAATTTGATTAATAATGTTTTGTAAGGTGCGTGGACCTACGTGTAAATATTTTTTATGTAAATATTCAATAAGTAAAAAGGTAAATCTACTATTTTTAGGTAATAAACGAGGATGCTTCGCGTTATAAGGTAACGCTGAATAATTTATTCGACCCCCCACCCTGAGGTATCCGCTTTCGTCAATAAATGGAGATAATTTTCTCAACGACGGAACGTACTTTGTGCCCTTTGACAATCTATTTATTTCATTTGCGAAGTATGCACTTTGTACTAATTTAATTAAAACATCTTGGGCAGTATTTAATTCGTTAGTCGTCAGTATTGAGTGCTTCGAGTGACCGGATTTGAGTCGGAAACATCTCAATATTCGAGCAAATGTACGTTGCAGTTTATAATAAGAAGAGAAATTGGAAAGATTCGGTCACAGAACTCTAACTTAGTCTCCTCTATCGCATTATTTTCATTTGTGATTAAATTGAAGGAGCCTAATGTATGATTTGATTTCATTTCGGGTGTGTTACTTTCATGTTTGTTGATAAATGTTCTCACTGGCCACTGCGAATAGTCGTCGTACAACCAAGATGGGCCCTTCAACCACTGCTTACTGCACTCCACGAGCTGTGACGGAGACGCTCCGCGCGAGCATATGTCTGCCATATTGCACTCACTACTCACGTGACGCCAACAGTGCGGAGGTAACACTTCACATACCTGAGTAACACGGTTACTAACAAACGGCTTTAATTTGTAAGCTTCTGTCTGAAGCCACGTCAACACGATAGTCGAATCGGTTAACGCAGTAATACGAGTAATTTTTACACGAGTTAAAATGTCACGGACATATTTAATTAATTTGCTTAACAAAACTGACGCCATTAATTCCAACCTAATGGTTTGACAGGGGCTACTTTAGATTTGGCTGTCACCAGGCGTACTTTAGTTTGACCTCTATCGTTACGACTGATCACATACACACAACTAGCATAACCGCGAGAGCTTGCACCGCAAAAGGCGATCAATTCACATTCGGTCTGTTCTGGTAGCAGCATATGTCTATCTATCTTGATTGCCGTTAGTCGCGGGAGATCATCAACGTAATTAAGCCAGCGCTTAGTTACGTTGGTTGGCAGCTGCTCATCCCATCCTATGTCCAGCTTCCATAAGTCTTGCATTATTTCTTTCGCGATGAAAATGCACGGTGAAATAAAACCCACGGGGTCGTAAATAGAAGCTAATAATTTCAAAACAGAACGTTTAGTTGTTACTTTATCAGTCTTATCTACTGTGAAATAAAAACAGTCAGTCAAAGGGAACCATTTCAGACCTAGCATTTTGACTGAATATTCGTTACCATCTTTCATAAATGTAACAGGACACTCTCGGTTTTCTAACGGAACGCGTTGTAAAACTTTTGCACTATTACTCGCCCACCTTTTGAGTATAAAGCCACCGGAATTAAACATCTCTAAAAGTTCATCTTGTAACCGAGATATCTGTGACAATGAACTGCAAGAATATAGAATGTCATCCATGTACACGCCCTCGCGCACAACCTTTGCAGCGAGTGGGAAACGTTCTTCCTCGTCATAGGCTAACTGTAAGAGGGTGCGGATAGCTAAGAACGGTGAGCAACTTAAGCCGTAAGTGACAGTTTTTAATTCATAAACGTCAATGGCATCGTTAGGCGAATGACGATACAAAATATGTTGATAACATCTATCTGACTGATTCAGTTTAATTGCCCGATACATTTTGCATACGTCACAAATCAAACAATATTCAAACAACCTGAAATTCAATATTATAGCCCCAATATCGCGATACAGATTAGGCCCGGTCAGTAGAATATCATTAAGCGAAACGTTCGTGGACGTTTTAGCCGAGGCATCGAATACCACACGCAAAGGAGTAGTGGAACTACTGGGCTTAAGTATACTGTGATGAGGTATCACATATTTGCTCGGGGTGTCCCCCGAATAAAGCTCCATGTGCCCTAGATTTTCATATTTGCACATGAACTCTGAATAGGCTTGTCGTAATACAGGTGAACGATTCAACTTGCGCTCGGTGAACAAGAGTCGACGCTCGTGACGCGCCCAACGGAGGCGGGTCTGGTATGAATGGTAACGGCACTGAATAGGGACCATCCTCAGTACGACTATAACGAGCCACGTAAATATCTTCGGCTAATTGTTCCAAAGGATTAATCGAGGGTTTGCTTGGCAATTCTTCGATTTCCCAAAACTTACGCAACGTTTGATCTAAAGACTCTTGTTCATCAAATGAGACTGATAAATTATAATTTTTTAAATTTTCCTTATCATTGCTATAAAGTTTCCCACTTACAACAAACCCGAAAGCGGTATCGATCACGCTTGGTATATCCAATGAAATAATATAAGGTTTATCCTTAATAAGTTCTGAAACTATATCATTGCCCAATAGTATATCGATATGCGAACGCTTATAAAATAATGGATCAGCTAAGTTAAAATTCTTATATTTATTAATAACGTCCGAGTGGAATCGAACATTAGGCATATCAGCAGACACCTTAGTCACTACGACCATGTTCAGTGTAAAACTAGGTAGGTCAGTGTGTAGGGACCTTAATGTGCATGTAATCATGCCGTGATTTTTTACAGCCTCTCCACCGAGACCATAAATATTAAACGAACACTTCTTTCGAGGTAAGCCCAAACGTTGAGCACACTCAGTTGTAATAAATGAGCTCTGAGCTCCAGAGTCAATAACTGCACGGCAGTATTGAAGCTGGCCGCTACTATCAATTACTAACACGCGCGCCGTTCCCAATACAACACCGTAACCCGAGTGAACGTTATTGGAATGAAGCGTATCTAACGTATAACGCTCTGAGTCACTCATAACCTGAGACGAGACGAGTGCTTGTTGCACTTGCGAGTCAGAGCACAATGGACGGGTGGATGTTGGCACGAGCGTGTCGCTCACTGGCTCCCTATGCAATAGATAATGATGTAGTGACGCACATACACCACAAGACATCTCACTTTTACAAGTTGAGGTATCATGATTTCCTTTTAGGCAATTATGACACAATTTTAAGGAATTGACACGGTCAATCCTTTTATCTACGGTCAATTTACGAAATTGATCGCACCTATAAATCATGTGATTTTGATTGCAATGCGCGCAAATTATTTTTTTTATTTTTATTATAATTCGACACATTAGTATATAAACTGTCTTTGAATAACTTTTGTAGTGGTTATTATTGTTGCCTTTGTAATTGTTACATATAGACTTATTTCTTGATTGTAACGACATCGTACTATTCGATGAATGTTCGAGTACTTTAACTTGTTTATTTACAAAACTAATTAATTCCGAAAAAGATGGAAGTGAATTTTGATCCCGATTTTCTTCAAAAAGCCTCCTAGTATGCGCATCCAATCCACGTAAGGCTAAATGACAAAATAAATAGTCATGTAAATTTTTAATTTTTAATGCCTCGATGGCTTTAACAGAGTGATCGAATGTTTCGATAAATAAAGTAAGATTTGCGGTAGTGTCTTTATTTAACGGCGTAAAGTTTATCATTTTGTCGATGTACCTACCCACGAGTATTCGATCATCTTGATATTTATTACATAAACTTTGCCATACGACAGTATAATTAGCGGCTGTTATGGGCAATTTTTTAACAATGTTTAATGCCGACCCTTTAACACATGAAAGCAAATAGTGAAACTTATCTATTTCGTCGAAATCTCGATTGTGGACAAGTGATACAAATGTATCGTAGAATGTGGTCCACTTCTCAATATCACCATCGAATTCAAATAAACGTAATTTAGGTAATGACGACCTTACATCACTCCTATCTTTCCTACTGAGGGATGCCTGCTCGTCCGGTTTTAATCTTAAATATTGCAACCTACATGCCTTATAAAGTTCATCAAATGTATTTAATTCTCGCGTTGACAATCTTGTCTCCGGTTTTAATGATATATCTATTTCAATAATATTTAACACTGTTTCATCAAACTTTGAGCGGACATTTTCCAATTCGGAATAATCGGCTAAGAAATTCTGAATTTGTGTGGGATCATTTATTCGGGATCTCGCGATATCGAAAACCTTTTGTAATTTAGCAAATAGGTATTCCTTTTTAAAAATAAGTGTTTGCCTTTTTATTTGTAATTTATCCGACATTATGAACAAATTACAAAATTAATACTTTATAAACGCATCGCGAGCAATGGACATCCAGGTAAAAAAGAGGCAAATTAAACAAGGGATATTAAATTAATTAAATGCGAAGTTTTACTCAAATATATGACGTCCACGGGACGCGAATTAAGGGTAGAAAATTATTATTAGAAGATCACTAATTCGAATATATGCGGCTCGAAGGCCAGAAATGTGGCGGATTGGGATTATTTTATTAGATATAGTGGACTGTATTGAGATTCTAAATCCCCTCAAACGTTCAGTTACCGCAGTCACAAAATCACACCAAAAACATCAACAAACTACTCACGGTCTTACTAGCCCGCCTCCCAAGATCAGCAAACGTTGACAGCTCCTGGTAGCTTCTTCTACACGGTAGAATACACTAGCAATTAGATTGTATACGGTACACTCTGGAGTAGTCCCCTTTTAAAGTTTTTGGAGAGATATTCACATCACGAACACAAAGAGAATGTGTACGGCTTGTCTCGCCTCCTACCCTCTTCTTCCTTTTTTAACTCCACAGATTATTACAACGCATATTACGTCGCAATGTTGCCACTAGGTGTAACCGGCGCTCCGATCGCAGCAGATCATTGTGCCTCGGTATAAATTTTGTGAGTTGCGGTTTATTACTGAACAATATCTATAATATTTTTAGACATTATATAGAAATTATTTAGGATTTATTAATAACCATTCGCCCTTACAATGACAATGAAACATTTCTTGAAGTTGTTTATAATTCTGCGAAATCTTTTCAATTTAGATATTGTGGACAACATTTTTAGGTGCAACTTTTCTAGCTTGTCCCATTTCGTGATTTATCTTTCTTTTTGACTTCGTTGTTTCTTATGTTTTTGTTATTTTTGAAATATTCCGAAATTTTAAAAAAATCTTTAAATACATCCCAAAATGTTGTGTCTAATTAAAAATGTTAGGTTTGATTAAATCTTTAGAATAAATTATAATTTAATTGCACCTTTTCTTTTTTGTATCACTCTGTAACTGCAGTTCTCTGCTGGCCTCCTCCATGCTGAATATCTGTCACCAGTCAGGGTATTTTACATCTGGCGTTAATGATATAGTTTTATCGCCATTTAGCGAATCCACCCATCCATTACAGCTAATAAAAGTCCACTGAACAAATGCTCCTCTCATGGATTGCCTCATGGGTTCATTTTTCCATAGTTGTCATGCTTAGTAGCATAGTTTTTTTTAAATATTTTGAGTTGTTATCAGGAAGATGCTGCTGCCCATCTCTTGTTTCATTTTCTCTCTGTCGCCTCTAACGACATCCTCGGGATGATATGGGCTGGTGGATATTCTTATATCGAATGATATGAGGTATTTCTGGCCATAGTCGCCTCTTGCGACATCCGTGCGCCGAAAGAGACGTAAACGTAACGATTTAACTCACTCTGCGCTACAGCTTTTACTTGCGACTTTGGCGGCGTGGAACATAAACAAAATAATCATATTAGTGGATCTATATTAGTGGCACGTTAGTAAAATTATCAAAAAGTACTTTAACTCAGCTGTTACCTCAAAGACTATGTTCGATATGGAAGAATGTAAATAAAATAATGTTTAAATATTATCTAATTCATTTTTGTCCAATAAATGTTTATCTTATTGAACTTTCGTAATATGGTCCTCAATTTATTTCAATTCGAATTATTTACTACTCTTGTTATAAAGATTTGGTCTCAGTTATAATAAATAGTTCAAAACAAGAACCCTGCGAGTGCACTGCAAATATTTTTAATTAGTAGAATTATTATTATATTTATATATTTTTTTTTATTTAATCTTTATTGTTAACACCTTAATAACTAGGGTAACAAAGGGCGGACTTAATGCCTGACGGCATCTCTGCCAGCCACCCCGTGGAATGATGATTGGGATTTTGTGGCAGGTGCAAATACAGGAGCGAAGAACCTTATCATGTGTTGAAAAG